AGTTAGTGAGAAACTAAGACAAATATTAAAAAAATTTTTCTCCACACTCTCCCAGACTTAACTTCACTGCTTTGCTCCTGACTCCTCTACTCACCCGCAGTGGTGCAGGGGACATGGGGAGCTGTGGTCAGTTTACAATAGTTCCCCCCTCCTTCTCCTTTCTCTTCACGTTTTTCCCCTGCTTCTGCATGGGATCTCCACAGATCACAATTCTCATCAGGAAATATCCATTTGTCCTTTGAGGGCTGCAATGGGGGTATCTTCTGTGCAGTGGAGCACCTCCTCCTCATTCTCCTTTTTTTGACCTTGGTGTTTCCTTTGTCATGTTCACTCTGGGCTTTTTATTCTCCTACTCTGCAGCTCTCCCAGTACCAAAACCTTTCTGTCTACACCCACTTCAGATGATAATGCTGATCACAGTAAAAAAGAAGGTATCAGAATATCCTCAGGAGCCTGTGCTCAGTTTGAAACAGTCTTTCTTTCTTAAGGTCAGGTGACTACTACACAGAATCTGTCTCAAGAGCCAATGAGGAAAAAATGAGAACAAACTCAACTATATTTTAATGTGTAATTCTCTCATAATTTAAACTCTGATAAAATTCATAGATTCTTGGTTAAAAATTCCTACAAAAGCAAATGCCATGCTAATAAAAAATTCCATTTCTGTAATCAATTTTCACTTATTAGGGATAGAAAAGAAAAATGTCATGTGTTTCTGCTGCCAGCCATTGCTGAATTCTTCTCAAGTTTTAGAGATATTTCTGTTTTCCCTTGAAAAGCGTTGGTTTAAGCAAACAATGTTAGTAGATTATCTAGTAGTGTGATGCTCTCTACAGAAAGGATAGTCAGAAAACATAAGAGACTGAGGATCTCTTGGTCCCTAACCAAATATACTACTTTTCTACACTAACCTAATCTCTAGAAGATATTCAGAAATGTGATTTTTTAAACATTCTCCCTGAAAAACACCAGTACTATTTTGTAAAATGAAGTTATGCTTGCTGTTACTTCACAATATGTCCTTTCATTCTCCATTGCTGCATTCAGATGATGTGTCTTCACTGCTCTACAAGCCCTTTAGAAAACGCACAAGATCTATATCCTGGCACTGTCTCAAGTGACTTTACCTTTCAGGTTATAGGTCCATTTTTTCATATGATGTTCTGGCATCCTGAAATGTCTTGGCTTTTCATCAGTAAAACTGTTTGTTTTTTCTGTATATTTGTAGAATGAGCATTATCGTAATGAGTAAAGCTGGCTCTTTGATCAAGCATTCGTGTACTGTTGAATACAAGATCAGATTTGATAACCTACACAGTAATTTTACTTTTTTCTGTAAAAGGCATATCCTACTGAACTTTGTCTCCTCTGGTCTGGAAATCAGTTTCTCACAGCAAGTTCAATAAAATAATAAGTTAGCTTCGGAGACAAAGAGGAAGATGCTATTCTTACAAAAGAGAAAGTATTTGTGCCTCTCAAGAAAGCTGCTTGCAGCATTGAGTCTATCACACTTTCCTTGAAATTATTTTTGAAGACAATCTCTTAACCATGGAAACACTCACCTCACATGGCACAGTTTTAGGATCTTGTAAGTAGTGCCTCTTTCATCCCCCATCATTTCCCAGGTTAGTTTTGTTTCTGTGAGTTTTATTTCCTGCACTGGAATGTCTTCTGCTTCTATTGAGTTACTGCAGAACAATTTTCATATGCTTTACTTTTAAAGTTCAGCTTTGGGAATTCAGAAAAGTGTATTAAACATTAAACCTGCTCAGTTATTAGAAGATTCTTTTGCATAAAGTTTGCTTCCTCATATAATCGTGTCATTAGCGGAGGCATCCTTAAGAGGGCTGGCCTGCCACTTTAAACTAAGATCGCTGTTACCTACAGTTACGGTTGGTGTTTTGAGTGGGAGCAGAAATTTGGGCAATGGAATTGACAGCTTGAAATGTTTTAGCCTTCCAAACTAAATCATTATTTAAACACAGAAACAAAATGGGTAGAGCCTTTGTGGGATTTTTCATAATATATTTCTAATAAATATTCTTAGGGATCCAACCTGCACTGAGAAATAGCATAAACCTCTCAAGTCAGAGATTTTATTTTTAAAACAAAAAGAAGATTCTATGTGTTACCTTGGCATCCAGGCATAATGAAATAAGATGTTTCTCCATCCCCAGTTTTCATACAGTGTAAAAGGAGTCAGTTTAACAGAGCATAACTTGCAGTCAACAGCTTCCCAAAGCAGTCAAAGAAAAATACATGTTCTATTTATTAATCAGACTTATTAATAGATAGGAATGGTTTTATATGCACTTGGAAGTCTCTTACCCTGTGAGTTGGCTCATTCACGGTGCTTTTCCCTGGAACATGGTACTATGCAGGGTACCTATGCATATCACAGCCTCTGCCATCATTTTTAATAAGTAGCTTATCTCTGTGATGCAACTAAAAGCAATTCTGAGTGTCCCCAGGGTTTGTTGTAAATTAATTTTATTGTTGTATTTGAAAATGTACATTTTTTGAAAACTGGAATAAGAAAAATGGAAAAGAGATTCTAGATGATGATAGTCTGATTTTTAGAAGGTTTTAACCCTTTGTAGTTTCCAGCTTCACAAGCTTATTTATGTTCCTCAAGTTGTTCCCAGCTGTGGATGGTTGTTCCCATATGCCACTGAAGCCCTGAATATAGCAGCCAGTGTTGTTTGTCAGGTAACTTTCCAAAGATTACCATTTATACCTGCAGTCAGATACTGTAGGATCAGAGGTGCAATAATTCGTGGGTTATTAACAAGATTGTAGAAGGCCTTTTCTGAGTCTTACACTTTTGCTGCTGATGCTATCTTCTCTAAGTATTTACAGCTATAAGGGAATTACTTCAAGGCCCAGTACTGCCCATGAAGTGTTGTGGAAAAAGTTAGAGTTTACCAGCTCCTGATCTGGACAATAAAGAAATGTCATTGTTTTGAGCAGAAAACCTGCAAGTTTATCTATATTGATATCTGACATTACACTGCTGTGCTCAGGCACCACCACCCAAATCACTGAGGAGTGGGTGCAGCTATGTTTGGGCTCACACCTTGGGCAGTCAGTGGACTTGCTTGATGTCTGCATCCAGGGACTGAGCTTTGCCTTGGTCATTGTGCTGGTCTCTGCTCTCTTCACAACTCATCAGGACTGCTAATCAAGCATTCATTGCAGTTTTCCACCTTTGGTTTTTATTCCTGCTTGATTTTCTTGCCATGGGATGCTGCAGACTGCTTTTAAAGATTCATATAACAATTTTTTCCAAATCAAAATATTTCCTCCAAATAATGTCATCTTTTCTGTCTGGCAGTGCTACTAATCTTTATTTAGTTATTTACTTACAATTTCTAGAGGGATTGGATGTGCTCAAGGCACCCCTTTAAGCAACACTTTATATCAAGATTCCATTTATAAATACTTTATGAAGGGCTAATGAATGATTAATAGATGTTTTAATGTATGACCAATCAATTGTAGGTCTTGCAATGTCCAACAGACAAGTGGGTTTCTTATAAGCATAGATTATAACCATATCTGACATATTCTATTGATGAGCTTCTAAACATCTATAACATATACACTACTCATATCTGTAACATGCTTAAAACATCTACTAATCACTGATTAATTTTTTATAACCTATTTTGAAGGGGAGCCTATCTGTGAAGTACATCCCTTATTGGTGTCTGTGACTCTCTGGTTCTATAGGATTGATAATTTACTCATCATCTAAGGGCTTAAAACTACTACTCATTTCAGCTCGAACCTTAAGCTTTTCTGAGTGAGCTCCAGCATTTTCATCTCAGTTTAGGAAAAAATGTCCCTAGTTTTCTCCTTCAAATTTCTGGCTGCTGTATTCTGCTAATGTGCATTTTGCAAGTTCTACTATAGTGCCGTGACTCTTAGGAGGCAAACGCACTCTAAAATATATATTCAGGCTCTTGAACTCAGTTAGTTTGATTATTCTCAAGACAGCTGTCCCAGTGATGATGGTTCCTAACATTTTTATTCTTTTTTACTGTCATCCCTCTATTCTTGGTTCAAACTTTGTCCATTCTCAGAAGAGGATAAGAAAATAGAAACTTCACAATAATCCAGTAGAAAAGCCATATCCCAGAGGATATTTTGTTTCTGGCAGAAGAATGCACATTTTGTATGTTTGATAAACAGAAATGATGATAGGAGTGTTCCCTCCTATGGGATTCCAATAGTCTCCTAAGGTGAAAGCCATGACTGTGCTCTATGCTTTCTATGGAGCACACAGGCAGAATTGACTAAAGCAGGAAGTACAACTTATTTCCTGAAAATTTATGGGTCCTAAAATTCATCATTCACAGTTGAAAAGCAGTAAGTTGCTTAGTGTTGTATTTTGCAAATGAATTTTGAATTTTTTGTTGATTTCTACTGAACTTAATCATAGGGTTGAGTCTTCTACTGTGATGTATCTAGCTGTTGAGACCAATTCTTTAATGAAAAAAATTAAAAGGGTTTGCAGGTTTTTCTTGTTTCTGGGGTTATTAGTAAAATAGTCTCTGTTCTGAATATGCCCAAGTAAATATTCCACTCTCACTCAAATCAAATGTTAATTTTTCAATGATTGCTGTTTACATCAATATTAGGCTGCTACACTTGTGGCATTAGCACATTGAACCTAAAGAAATACATCAAGTATAACTTAATTAAAAAAAAAAAAAAGAAAAAGAGAATTTGGGTTAAAAAAGAGAATTTTATTCTTCAACATTAACATGGAATTTTCTCTGCTTTTATAGAAACTATTTATTGTCAAAGCCCCAGAAATAAGATCCTCTCAGAACTACGCAAGCTCTCGGAGATGACAGGTTTTTATGCACATTTAAGTGGGAAAAAAACATTAAAATAATATAAAAGTGATTGTACAATCCCTCTTATGTTATCCAGTTAGCAGTCTTGTTTCTTTGTTTATTGTGGGTTTTATCATGATCTTTTTTTTTTTTCAGCTGGTTAATAATCCACTAGCAAGTCAAGCAGCAGCCGCTGCAGCAGCAGCAGCCATGGGCTCAATAGCAAGCTCCCAGGCCTTTGGCAATGCCCTCTCCAGTCTTCAGGGGGTCACAGGTCAACTCGTCACTAATGCACAAGGACAGGTGAGTGGAAGATGGAGCAAACAGTGAATTCTGATGGCAGGCTGATCTTGGGACAAAAATGAGTTCCGTCGTATGACAGCAATTTAAAAGTGCACATATTGAAGATAAATAAATATTGATTTGCCAGACAAGGTAAGAAATGGAAAGTCTGAAAACTGGAAGGAAGTTAGGAACAGTTAGGTGTTTTCAAGCTAGAAAAGGCTTAGGGTTTGTTTCATTTCGATTCAACCCTTTGAAAAGATCACAATAGTGCAATACTGTGGTATTTTAAAAGTCCAGCAATCTTCTGATTCTTAAAAAACATACCAGCTGTCTTCTCCCACTTATATATGCCTAATAACAGACAACTGTATCAAAGTGGTACTGTGCTACACTTTTTTGCATTTCTGTATCATTTCTGTATTACTTCATTTCTAAAAAGGTATTAAATGTTCTAAGTAAAGGAACACAAATTGTAATGAAGTATTGGGATGGATTTTGCTGGCTTTCCCATTTGCTTATTATCTTATGTTAAGAAATTTGTAATGAATCTGCCAGCCTGTAAATGCAAATCTGGGAGAGTTTTTTGGTTAAAAGAAAATTTTCCAAACAGGAAAATTGAATGATGTTGAAGTGTTTGTGTGTCTAAGAGAGAGATCGTGCATTATCTGTATTTTGGAACTGTTTATTTGTTCAAAGTATTTCGATTTCAGTCTTAGTATGATGCAGAAAGATATGCGTCTGAATCCATATATATATAAATAATTGCTTTGATGCAGCATGCTTAAGTGGCTTTCAGACTGTGACCACTGTCATTCTTTATTGCATTTACTAGGACTAAAATTAACACAATTACTTGTTTCACTGCAACAAATCTGTCAATATAACTTATGACTGTACCTGGTAACTGAGTAATTTGAATGTCATTATTCTAAATGCTACAAATTGGGCATACAGTGATATCCACAGTGTTTATGTGGATGTTAGGCCCTGGAAAATATTTATTGAAATGATGCAACTTGGATGATATGTGAATCTAAAGTTTAGTTTCTACTCTTACTGTTTACTAGTGGGGAGAAAAAAATTAAGAGCAGCTTTTTTCCTGATAATTTTCTGTCACCGTGTTAGTTAATTGGAACAGGAGTGATGTTTTTTATTTTGGCCCATTAAAAAATAAAAGTCAACAATTTATAGGAAACCCCCCTTTTTTTTAACATAGCACATAAACAAAGATGCTTCCTGAGCTTCACTCTCACCATCCAAGTCCCAGGAAAAAAAAATGCTGACCTTTTTATATTTACTGGGTGGGTGCAGAATTGTTCCATCACTACCCCGAGGGTTGAACGATGGAGCTTGTCAAAGTGAGGCCTTATCTAATGAATCATCTTATCGCAGGTGCACACCACACATATTAAAGGAGGATTGTATGAACAATGTGCCCTCTACAATAACCTTTCAATGTCTACTTTAACCCTTGTTTCAATCCCTTTTCATCAAAGGATCATTTTATGCAGCCAGCTTTAAATGGAGGTTCTCAAAAGCCTATTAAGATTTCTGGAGGGATGGGGTATTGGTTTGGAATAAAAGTTGGTTATAATACCCATAACTCACAGTTAGATCAGCTCCAACATAGAAGCCTGCTTGTTTCTGTCTGTGCTCTAGAAATGGTTCCCAGTCGCCACTCACATGAGGCACTTGACACCAAAGATGTTCACTGTAAGAGTTGAAGATAAAAACACAGACTAGTTTTTTTATAGTTTTTCCTTTACATGTTCTCCAAAGAAAACATAGGCAATGCGTGGCCATTCATTGTATGTTTAAAAAAAATACTACTGTGAAGATATCACTGAACGAAACTATCGATTCCCTCAGGCTAAGTCTTGTTTATTCCAGACATAATGTAAAGTCCAATAATTCCACAGGTTGCAGAGAAAGGGAAAAGAAAGGAAGAATCTTCTATATTCCTGGATAAAATTACAGCATCTAATTGTTTGTTTAGTTCCTTTAAGTAAAGGTTGTCTTTTTGTTACTTCTTTTTACAATATTCCTTGTTTTATTATCAGTACTTCAGACCTTGCTGCAATATAGATAGACAATGATAATAGTGTGTAATATAACATTCATTTTTATAATATTCAGCATAAACTCATATTACTTAGAGCCCAATTCTCAGGCTATCTGTCTTAAAACAGGACTATAAAGTATAATCAAACTACATTCCATAAATTAAATTACATTCCTTCAAATTAATAAAATTATAGGACTTAATCAAGAACTGAAAGGGTTTCTTCAAATTTGGAAGCTTAACTGAATAGTAATTTGGAACACTCCATTACTGAATAATCTCCTTGGAGTCATTAAATAGCCAGATTTGCATCATATGTTAAGAATCTGTCCTTTAAAAATTGACCCTTTCGAAGAATCATAAGTGTGACACCCAAAATTCACTCCTGAAAATATGAAGCTGGATGATTTACTAGAATGTTTCTATGTGTAATCTTTGTAATTACATGCTGCTTCCATTATAGAAATTCAGGGCTTGTAAAAGTCCATCTGTCTGGCTAAATATATGGTGGTCAGTAATCCCTGGAGACATTAAGCTATAGGTCAAAAGCAAGATCCTATGCCAAATTTGGGGAAATGATCTTTTAAATGACATATGGCATGGCCTTAATTCCAAACAGTCAAGAATTTCTTACAATTACAATAACAAAATTATATATATTAACAATAATTTATATATTTGTTATGTAATTATTGAATTCACAGTTATAGTATGTTAATTTATTTTTCTTCTTTTGCTTTGGATGGCAATATGAACTGTAATACCAGAGCTTCTCAAGTAACCAAGAGATCTAATCCATTGAAATAATATGATTAGATCACCTGATTAATTTGATATAGTGCAGGTGGAGGACTCTAAATCAAATTTTCATTTCAGAGTCATATTATGAAGAGCTATTGGCCCATGTAACACTGCTTACATTCTATTTGCCCTCAGCACTTTCCAGAAAGCATTTGCAGGACTGGGCTTTCATATCTTAAATTTAAAGGCCGGGTTAGTAGGTTTGCCAGGCTGCACCCTGTCAGTAGATACACTGATTTCCAAGAGAAACTGTCTACCTGCTCAGCTTCAGCCTGCCCTTATAGCAGGATTCAAGTGCCATTGCTGCACTTGAATTCTTCAGAGATTTAATAACCTAATATTTCTTTTTTTCATAATGGTTTTACAAATGAAAGAAAATAGCAAGAGTTTTGCATGGGTTTTACATATCTATTAAGTATATGAAATGTGTACTTTGGTTGGTTTTGTATTATTTTTAAGGAAAGGAGCCACAGAAATACGAGAGCAAGGTTGTTGCATCTGGTTTCTTAATTGTCATCAGTTGCATTCATATAAGTTTCTTGACTTCAACAGGATCAAATACATTTTAACTGTGGGTGCAATAAAGTTTATTTTCTGATAGATTAATAGGAAAATCTAAGTATTAGATGAATTTATTTGGATCACATCAGTATAATCTAAGAATGCCCCTGAAAGAACTTGGCCTTCATTGTGCCCATGCCTTGCTCTTAAGATGTGAAAACCTTCTGTATAAGAAAAACCTTGAGCACAGCTCCACCCTGACAATTAACAAAAAATAACTAATTTTTGAGGGTTGTAGTCCACAAGTAGCTCAGGAAACAAAATAGGGAGAGAGGCATTGTTGATCCAATTAGATAATAGGAGTACTTTGGTTCTCATTATTCTGATTAGAGGGTACACGTTTGCTCTTTGAGCTTCTTGATGGTAAACGGTGCTAATGAGGCCTGATGGATTCCCTGCTCCTAACAAGCCTCTCAGCAGTGCGAGTGATTACAATGGAGATAGATTTGATGGGATGCGCTCCCTTTTGTAGTGTCTCAGCTGCTGACACTCTGCGACATAATCAGGTCACAGAGCCGGTCACAGCCATCAGCAAAAGCCATAGCTCTATTCCTCATTATTAAAGTGCATTATTCAGTTCCAGGCCTTCACAATACTGCCAAGGGCCTTTTTTTCTTCTCCTTTTTTTGTTAAGCATCAGTTCTCAAATACAAGAGTTAATAAAATCATCAGCTAAAGAACTAGTAAATTAAAGAAATGGAAATAAAGTGCTCCCTTTCAAATTCATTGAAGGATCACAATTAAATAAGCAGGGAATTTCTCATCACCACACACTGTACAGTACAATGTAATATGTCATGTGCAATAACAACAGGGATAGGATTTAAAAGATAGCATTGTCCTCATTGTGGACTGGCTTGGAAAGTGCTAAAGTATCTTTTATGATGAAGGAAATTTCTATATTCCCAACTATTACATGTATACATGTAGGTCCTATTATTTTCACTGTTTTCTGTAACTACTTTTTTCTGAAGTGATAACAACTATTTGCAAACTAACTTTATAATTCTAAGCAGAACAGTTATCTTGTCTCTAGCTTAAGTGGCTAGGGCCACAATCTGGAAAGTATACAATAGGCCACGGTGCTAGGAACGCTTCGTTCCCATACAGAAAGTAGCTAATAGGTTAGTTATTAAATTTTTGATTCAGTTTTGTTTCAGCTAAATAGAGGTCAGATATTCTAATACTGAAATGTATACCTTTGCAAGGATTTATACCATTTCTGTTGAATCCCTGTAGTATGTATTCAGTGACAATAATATAATTTCATGCGTAGATAAAACTAATACACTGATTTTTTTTATTTTTTTTTTGTTGTTACTCTTTTTCAACTCCACAATATTTCCTCCTTTTTCTTGCTGAGAGGACATGATATGATGAGTAAGTGGTTTGACAGACATTCATATTAATGTATTGAATTTCTGGTGGGTGGAATCTAACTCTCTATTTTCCCCCTCAAAGTTTCACTGTGCTGAATACATGCAGTATTTTGCCATTTGCAGGAAGAAAAGGGCACATACTCTGAAAAAAGATCAGTTATAAGGGAAGATTTTTTTCCATTGGCTTTGCTCCCCATAGCTATCCATGTAGAAGG